ACCACCGAAGCTCTTCTGCTTCGACAGCTGCTCTTTCGCGATAAAGACCGCGTTTTATGACGAATATCGTAATCGCTACAATTACCGTGCTCGAGATCCTCGCTTTCCCTTCAGCGGGACGCTGTAGATCGACAACGGTGTTCTCGTGCCGGGGCAACGCACGGACCTGGAGGAACGGAATCCCCTTCCCCGGCTTATACGTCGACCGGATCCCCCGAGATATCAAAACCAGATTTGACAGATCCGATTTACCCCGGGACGAGCTGTGAAGAAACCCGCCGTCCGAGAGGAACGGAGCATTCTTTCTTGAACCGTCACTCGGACCGTCGATCACGCTACATCCACCAACCCCTACCGGGGGAAAAGAGGGGGACTGATAGTTTCCCAGATTGGCCGTTTATTCTTACCCCGAATCTAATTGCGTAACGATCTCCCGTAGCAGCGTAGCGTAACGTAAAACGTTGTCTCAGTCCCATGATTCCCACTCCCCGTCCGTTTCATTCGTCACCCCCCCACCTCTTACCTTTCCTTTGTCCCTTCACCCCTCCCCCTCCCCTCCTCTTCCGTGCCACTCCATGTGTTCTTTTCCACTTCCCCTTTCCGCTCCACCGAAAACCTGGTCACCCCACTACGGAGCCTTTTGTCCCCCCCCCTCCCCCCAACCGCCGGACCGACTGACCCCGGGCCTCTCACCCACGCTGTAGTCTCATAGTGTGATGGCCGACCCTCACGTAGTAACTAGTAAACCGCAGGGTCGGATCTTCGTGGATTTTCCTAGATGAATTGCACCAGATAAGGGTTCGCGCGCGATAATATCTTCCCTCCTCCCTGTTTGAGAGGATCTCGCATATTAATAATTTGCACTTTGTCTCTTATTGCTGTTTCGTCCGTTTGAATTATAAATATGCAACGCGAAAGTACATTATATTTCCCTTTAGTTAAGAGAATGCACGCATCACGTTTCGTTTCTTACGACTTATACGATCGTGCGTATTTGAAAGGTAGCCACGTGAGGGGTTGAAAACCGACGAGCTCGTGCTATCTGTTCGAATATTTCAATTATCATCCCCCGAGGTACTTTTCGCTTCTAAGCGTAACATATCGTGCGTTCCGATGCGTTAACAAGGATTAAGCGTCGCGTGTTTAACCCTTCGGGCCCCAATCGGATGTATACGTCCCCATTTTCTGGAGATATTCTATACAATAAGAACTCACCTGCAGATCGTCGATAAATGCAAACCGTCGAAAATAGTTGTCGAAGGGAGAAGAAAAAAACTGAGTCCCAGAGGATCAACTAAAATGAGAGTGCGGAGAAGTCGAGCTCTCAATGAACGGACGGCCGGTCGATCGACGAAGGGAATGCATCCCTGTGAAGGCCCCGGGCATCGTACTACGGCTTACTATACACCGTACTACAGCGTACTATAGACCGGTGACGCACTATAGCGTCGTACTACAGCGTCGTGCGCGCTATAGGAGGGCCCGCGACCGCGTTCGCCGGGCCCCGAGCGCGTTTCCTTACCTGTCCGTAGGAGGCCCGCGTGGCGCTGCCGTCGCTCCTGAACCTTCCCGGCTGCGTCCGGGCATTGTTGAACGGACGCTCGCTCAGGAGAGAGTAGCACAGCGCGACCGTGTCACGCCCCCCGAGTCCCTTCGATCGCGAAAAGTCCGGTGTGCTTGGGATTGCCGGTGTGACCCGTGGTCGATAAGATCCTCGTCGATGAACCCGTCGAGTGCTCACCCGCGGATTTTCATGAGGGAGCGATTCTGACGGACCGTACCTGCGAATCGGAGGCCGACTGTCAGCTATGAAGCAGGATCAGCCGCGGCCGCGGAGGCAAGCCCTCTTCCAGATTTCCAAGGTTTGCCACGGGCATGTTCTCGTTATCGCGATTCACCGGACTTCCCGTTCAGTTGATCGCCGTTGTTCAATTAGCGGACGTCGTTGCGAGCCGCCGCTTGATATCGCCCGATAACGCGTATACCGTTATACTTATCCCGCCTCGGAGTACCTGTTGATCCTCCGAACGTTCGCGCCGTATAAATCATCTCGCGCAGAAATCTCGAGAATTAGCGCGTTCGATCGTATTTTTCACGCTCCTAGCGGCGTAGTTTTGCACGCTCGACGACGATAGAGAGCGTTGACGAGAAAGAGCGTCCAGGGCGGTTGGCAATGCGTCGCGACGCGTAGGACAAAACGGATATTTCCTTACCGCCCTATTGAATCGTCGAATATTTTATCGTGAAATTCGAATCGAACACAAAGCACTTTGTGATGATAACAACAATGCGTGATATCGTAATGTAAATATTATCGTCTCAACACGAACATTATCTCAAAAATATTCAACTTACTCAAATGTACAATGAGTTGATTTGATTTTCTTTCGGTGGTAGACTCGACAGAGTTTTCTTACGACCCCCCTCGTGGTTTATTCAGTATCATCGCGCGAAATAATCCCAAGATCGTATATTCATGTATTCCTACGGCGGGAAGGTTTAAGGTCGCACCGAGAGGCGCGGTTGCGCTCGCACAAACCGACGGACAATTTATTCGCGCAATTTTCCGATGATAATACGGCACCTTCCGCTGGCCGCGCCGTAAGAAAACTCGCGGAATGCGCGCTTTTTCGCTCTCAATTAACCCAGTTCACCTCGAGCCGTGCGACTCGAATCCAAAAGTATAACGCGACATTCCCGAGCTTCTCGGGAAAGCGCGAGGTAACGATTCAGCTTGCCGATCACGCGGACAAGCTGTAGATCAGCCAATTAGCTGGGAAAATATCGGGTGCGGCTTTTCGATCATTGTGATCGCTCGAGGTCAGTTGTTTGCGGCCGCTGAAGTCGCGGTGAAGCGGTTATCAGTGCGGCCCGCGTTTCGTTACACGGCCGATACGATCGATTATTATTCATAAACTAATCGAATTCTAAAATCGAAGCGGAGCTGGACGCATCGTTTGAACGGAGAGATGTTTAAGCTACTTCCATCGGCGTAGGTTGGCACGAATGAGCTTCATAATGGTAGGACCGTGGAAAATATCTCGCGCGATCGTCACGCCGCAGTAACTAGGTATTTGGAGCGCTTTGAGATTCTCATCCGCAGACACAATTCACGTGATCGCTCATGAATCTTTTCTTTTTTTTTCTTTCCTCTTTTTCAACACGCTCGGGCGAGCGGTTGATTATGCGGCGAACAACGACGCGTACTTCAATCGCGTCTTTTAATTACGTTTAATCGATACCTCTGTGAACTTCGACCGGCGTGTTTTATTCCGCTCGTGTAAAAGTGCACAGTGTTATAAAAAGGAGAAAAGAGGCGGGGTCGGAAATATCGAAAGAGAGTTCGATATACCCCCTTAGACGCGTTACTCCTTACTTCCCGTAATCACGTGTAATTTTATTGTATGCGCTTATAAATCATTGACCATAGGATATACGTGTGATAAACAATAGTTGGACTAATAAGCATTAAGAACCGTTACCGTCGGGGTCTTCCCGCAGGCTTCCGCCGCTAATTGGTACGCGCGTGGAGTAGCAAACCAATTAACAGGTATCGAAGCCGGCTTGAGACGCGAGTGCGCTTTATGAAATCATCACCTTGCGGTAAATCTGCAGGAGGGAAGGAGCATAATCATCTGTGGCATAACTAATAATGGCTACGTGATGAGAGAGTAGTAAGAGTGCATTGATTTTCTCGAAAACTGATCGCGTGGATCTTACTTGTAATTTATGATTGGCTATGAAGTCGCTGGTGTGCTTTAATCTACAGAAATGTTTACATATATATAAATACGTATATGCGTGTTCGATGACGTACGTCCCTTATGAGACCCCATTCAGTTTCGAGGACCGTATCGTATTTCCACCGAAGAGATCCTTTCCCTTCCTCCAGTCTCACGATTCTTTCGACACATGCCCATTCAACGAAAACGCTCTCTGCAGAAGCATCGGCTTTCACACACGCACACGTACACATACGCGCGCACGCGCATCGTTCTCTTGACGAGACAATAAAATTTTATCGTGCTTGCCACATTCTCGCTATTTTAACGAGAGGTTATCAGAATTACATCTTCTTCTGTCATTTCAAATAATAATCGCATAATTAATAATTATATCATATTATTATTATATATATATTTATATTATTACATTTCATTTTTATTTTATTATTGTTTTATTTTTATTATATTATTATTATATTACACTTCATTAACGTTATATAATTATATTATATTATTTATATATTATATTACCTTAATTATATTACACATCAGGCGGTAGAGTTGCATGCAATATTTATAAAATATATTTGAAAGTAAGATAAAAAATTTGATGGAAATCGTGGGATCGCACATTTCAGCGGAAAAATGGGAATTTCGTCAGAGCGCATAAGTTCGACGAGATTCCCAAAGGGGTCGAACATTGTTTCGCGCTGTGACGCCGGAAAAGAGGAAATTATGTTCCGCTATGCGGCGGGACACGGGCACGGAAATCGTGATTTACTTTCCCTCGGTATAATAATGTGATACGTCGGGCTACTGTCGTCGTGTATGGTTATAGGCCGGTGCCATGTAGGGTGCCGGCGCATTTACATTTATTTGCTCGTGTCGTGTGTACACCCACACGCTGCCTTTTTCGATTCGGCCTAATACGCATCGGCGCGAGGGACACGAGAAATTCATTCAGAACCGATGCCGAAATCGAGTTGTAATGGCTTACGGCACGTTAGGTCGTATAAAAAGTAGCGTAATAGATGTAACGATGCCAGGATTTTATCAAATATAGATAGATCGTGATTTATGTTGATGCAGGACGCTTAAAATTCGGGGAAATGAATATAAAAACATATAAATTTATATTCATATTTACAGAAATGTAAATTTGTATTTTGCAAATATACTTACTGGTTTACGCTTTTACGGGAGGGGGAAGGGGGGGATACTTATTCAGGATGCATTTGAGAAGTTTGTTGCAAATTTCTTTTTTTCTTATTTCAGGTCTTATGGCACCTCGATATCTTTCGACGGAGTTTCCGAGAGCTTTCCGGACACGCTTGCATGCGAGAGTCGTGTATCTTCTGTGCACTTAAGGTAAGAGAATCTAAATTTAAAACAAAATCATTTTTTCAATATCTCTCGACATTCTGATATTATTTCGTGCACAGGAATTCTACGTGACTCAATAAATTTGCAAATTCGAGCGAACATGCCTATATATATATATATATATATATATATATATATATTTGCAGAGAAACCAGTTGCGAAGAATATTTATCGACGGTTTGTCTCCGCTTCTTAATTAATAGTCTTTTAATTGCACGTTGCGAAATGCGACGACGGTAGCTGCGCCGGGGACAAATATTCTAAACACTTGTCGCATTTTTATAACACGCTACCTTGACACTCTTACGTATCGATAAGCTCTTCGTGCTGACGGGGAAAAAGGGAGACGGAGAACCTTGGACAGTTTTCGCACAGAAAAGAAGAGAGAGAATGAGAGAGCTGGTATTTTTCCGGATAAATTTTACGCCGTATGAAATTCAACGAGGGTCATCTTTCGAAACTGTCTCACGGTGAGGTGAAAAGTGGGGGAGTGCTCGAGATAAAACGTCTTGATATATCACACGTGTTGAAGGTGAAGCTGATTTCCCATTCAATGTGCGAGCTGTTCTCTCGGTGCTGAAATATTTACCATCGAGCCCGAGACGGGGACGAAAAACTTATTCGATACGACAATTGCGAGTCGAAAACGTTAACTTCGCTCGTTACTTCCTGCTTATTCGCTCTATGCATATTTACTTACTGTCTACCACAATTTCCCCGCCAATTTGCTACATTATTTCACCAATAAGCATACTCGAGTAGTAATTGACGACTAATATGTAATAATGACGAATTAATATATGAGAAAACTTTTTTTCCAACGCGTAAAGCGTTCTTAATAGCCTCCTTTCTTCATTGTTGCGCAATATCGACAATGTGGATTTCGACTTCATCCGCCGCTGGTGTTATTTTCTCTCGCGTTCCGTACAATCGGACGGAGATACGACTAACCATTGTAACGGGGTCGACGTTCCTTTCGCCGACGACGTTCTTCTCGGTTCGCGAGGAAACACCGTAGGATAGCCGCGTTATCCGTTGATCCATCCGTCGGTCCATCATGGCGAACATGGTCCGTCTTGATCGTGGAAGGTCAACTGTTTCGTCCACCACGAGTGAGAAGGCCCGCAGGAGGAAAGGATGGCGTGGTAAACGCGGCGCGTTCGAGGCTAGTCGAGAAGTAGGTGGAAACGCGAGTTCCTCCCCGATCTTCTCACGGGGTTAATTAGCAATCTCGCGAGTTAATTGCCTCAGGCGTAGGGGCACCAGCGCGCGATTCGCAGGAATAGACCGCCGGTCGGAAGAAGCGCGCTTCTTTGTTTGTTACGGGCCCCGCCGGACTCTCCCGCGCGGATTCGCGCCCGAAGTTACCGCAATTCCGAATTATTCCACCGAAACTCATTTTCCCGCACGGGAAGAAATCACGGCTAATAATCGGCGTGCTGATGCACGGCCTAGCCGCGGATAATTGCGAGTGATAGCTTTTTTTCTATTTTCTCCTTCATAAGCATCGCCTTGTCCCGCGATTTTCACATCAGATGATCGAGTCTTTGTGTAAACGCTATTCGTTGTGACGAGTATTTATAACTGAACTTGAAAGGGGCTAGGTACACATCTCGGACGTAGGATTTTTTTGACATTTGTTATGGTTTCTTTTTTATAAACGAAAAGAGAGGGGAAATTTTACGGGGAAAAGCGAATTTTTCGACGGATCGGGTGTAATGACTTTATCAGAAATTAATGTTTTAAACATGGGCTGCTGCAAAGACTGGATAATCTCACTAAGAATGTCTGTGCGAAACTACAACTAAATCAGTCCATTAGTTCCGGAGATATTTTAAGTGCCGATCAGTGATGGCGAGCTTCACGGGAACAGCAATAATGGCGTTACGTATTAATATTTTATAATAGACTTTATATGGTGTGTAAATAGAAGTTTCGAAGAAGAATCACCTCTCGAGAGGACATTTTCATAAAGTCAATAATGTAGTCGGCAGAAAAACTCAAGCATTGGCCATTTTTCAAGTTGCTCAGGTACATATAATCTTTTAACAATGTGCAACGTGATTTTCACCCGGAATGCAATTGGGTACGCATATACTCGGGGAACAAAGAGAATTTTTGTATCCTAAGACTTTGTTGAGCTGTTGCTCAGTTTAACGCCTCGCATTCCGAGAGCTTTCCCGGTCTAAGTTCCACCCTTAGGATAAGATAGGATAGCCGAAGCGTAGCTACACTCGAGCTTGAAATTATAGCCCTGTAAAACCATAGGAAACATACCTGTTGCTCGCTTATCCTCGGGGAAAGATAGGTTGTCAGGGTACGTTCGTTGCCTAATAGATGACCTTCCTCTCGAAACAGATGGCATTTTATTTCTTTTCCTCAAGATGCATCTCGTTGCTCCTTTTGTCTCACGTGATGCGTCGAAGGCCGCTGTTCCCACAATAAGGAAGAAGATGATAAAGAAATCTGTTCGTAAACAAACTTTGCAGATAAATAAACATTCGTTCGTGCTATTTTGAACGATTAAGGTGGAGAAAATTTAATTATAAAATAGAACGTTAAGTTGAATTAAAATTGTTTTCTCTTATAAAATCCCGGGGATTAATAGCCTTTGGCATTAAACGAAAGGATAATAATGATAGACGGAGCAAAATTTTAAGAAAGGGCAGTATCTCTGCATACCAAATGCATGAAAAAGTCCCGTATTCATACTTGACGAAGAATTCGACCCCGCCGGCATACCTAAGATGATTCACTGCGAACGTATTTCGGGGGATGAGGATGCTGCGATATTACAAGAGCCCTTCGCCACCTCGTGGCGCGACCTCAGTCGCGTGCTGAGCGTCAAAGGGTTTTTTCACCGCAAACCTCACATTAAACGAATCCGTCTGATCGTCAAGGCGAAGGCGGCATTGTTTGCGACATTCATGCAGGGAGCGATGAACCTTAGAGCGAGAAGGTCACATTTAAGGCTAAACGTGCCTTCAACGCGTCACGGATGAGCTAACGAGAAATTGCGCGATTTTTACGACGAATACGAAGTAGAGACTCGCTCTTCCAACTTCTGAACATTACCGGGCCGTCTTATCGTCGGCAATTGATCCGCATTGCGACGCCTCCAGTCACAATTCAGGAAGCGAACGGAATCGGTAACATCTCGGAGCGAGCAATTTCAGCCTTATGATTATTAACGAGCCGCCAGTTCCTCCCGCCGTACTTCCTGTTTACCTATTTGCAATTTCTCAAAGGCCGGAACAATGTTTAAACATGTGTGTAATTGTTGCATCATGAGATTTAGTTCCGATGCTACCGATATGAACCGTAGATTGTCTCTAATGGCACAGATCATATCAGCATCGGGCATAATTCTCGCACCTTTGCATGTTCTTCTGCTTTCTTTTTTTTTTCCTGGAATACAGTTACTCTTCAGATGACGGCGATAATTGGTGACTGTGTACGTAATTAAGAAGAGCCGTCAATTAGGAGCGTTCGCCGGTGTCGCTAAACAACAACCGTTGCTCCGCGAGAAACGCACGGGATATCTGGTGATCGTGCTGAAGGCGTGATCTAGAATATTTTTCTTTACGCGTCGCGATTTTGTGGTAAGGAACACACGGTCGTACTTAAGGATTACCACCTCGGACACCTGACATAATTACCCGTTATTATCGAGTCGTTTCCGGCCGGCGCCGATAGTTCCTACGAGCTCGGCCTGTCGAAAGGCGACTCGGAGTTATTGTTTTCTCGACTTTTACTGCCGGGACGTTACATCCTAGACATATCTTACGCAAAATGTCTTAATCGCCCTTTGGGAGGTCTTCGCGAAGGTATTTACAAGGAGACTCGCTCGGACTGAGTTTCTCTGCGGTAAAATTGAAGGCTAATCAGGTAGGTCGCACCACCGTTTAAATACTCGTTCAGAACTAAGTGTTCTACGTCGGCTCGGTCGGATTTGCATCCTGCCGCGTAAACGAAGGAGGAAATGTACCAATCCTACGCTAAGCAAGCGGCTACTTCTTTTACGCGGTGCCCACACTTCTTGATTAAATAATACCGCCGAGATCCGAGGTAAACAGCCTCCGCCTGCCGCTGTCCGATCGATTCTTCGTGGTACGTCTGATCAATGTGTTATTACAGTGAATAATTTCTAATACTTTGGCAAAATCGCCTTCTCACGAGTGCTGGAGAAATTGTTTAAGAACAGCCGTTCTATAATTTAATTTAATCCTCATCCGGGGGCAAATTCTTACAAAACAAAGCTGGGCAAAATTGTGGAAACGAAAATATTTCGCTTGAAAATATTTCAGCACGCTAATCTGTACAATTTTCTTCCCCGTGAAAGTAATATTCGAATAAACAGAGTCGCTTAATTTCAAGTGAAACGAGAATGCGAAATTTAATCGATATATACACGGACAAAATCTGTGCATCAAGAAAAAGGAACGATCGGATTCTGATTGAAGGAAACAAGAATCTCCGGTTTTTATTCAAAAGTGATTTTTATAACTTCGGTTTAAAAATTTTTATATTATATTTTTTATATATATATTTTAATTATAATTATATTATAAATTATAAAAATTTTTATATTTATATTTTATATTTTTAATTTTAAAAATTCGGTTTCCCTCAATCGAAATGCACGCCGGTCGTTCCCCTTCCGGCCAATACAGCCAGATTTTATCCCGTGTGCAAAAGAAATGGAGTTTCGGAGTCCAGCGAATTTGTGTCCAGCGAATTCCTGATGAGCGTTGATTAATAATGATAATCTCTCGAACGAATACGAGAATCTCTCTCCTTCCGCCTTAACGTTAAATGAAGTCTCCTGTAATCGAATCCGCAGCAGTCGCGTGCGATTCGCGCCTCGTGACGTTTCTCCGTCTCTCACGTGCATGTAACAGTGACAAGGCCCGATCGCACTCGATACGCAATCGCTACGCGCGTTTGTCCCAGTCTCCGTGTAGCCTGGCGTACTACGTCTCTCA